CAAGGGACGGTGTGTCTCATAATGGGATCAGCCATATGGTCCACTCTGTGCATTGGCTCTTCAGAGCAGGGTATCGTCCTCCAGACCTGGTGGGCCAGGATGTGCTCCACTCTCTCTTCCTCCCTCTTCATTTGCTCCCATTTGCTCTGATCAGACATGCCCCTTTCCCCTAGTTGCAGCTTCAGTGCCGTCCTCTAAAGTAAATTCTTCTTGGGAGAGGGGCTGTTGTCCACGTAGCTGGTACGGGGGATGAGCCCTCAGGCCCCTCCACTGGCTCCCCATTCCTTGCCGGCAAGCTGCATTCATCTGGCACTGGCTTTAAGTCTGGTCCCTCTTTTCCTGTGGAGACACAAACAATACCCTCCCCTTGGGTGGGTCAGTGCCCTTTCCCCCCCACACACACATCTTTTCCCCACCTTTCTTCCCTCCCCCTTTTTTAGTTGGCTACCATATGTACCCCTGGATTTGATGTGGCCCCTGCCATACTACCTGGGCCTCCTTCCTGGTGTGTTTTCCCTGTGCCCCTTTTGCCTTGACTTTTCTGTTCTTTTACATATATATAAACTTACCTCAGTGGACTCATGTTACACTTGTCCTTTTGTGCTTGGCTTACTTCACTTAGCATAGTTTCCTCCAGTTCTTCCCATGCGGTGATATGCTTCCTGAAGATCCTTCCGTGGCAGCTAGTCCAGCCCACTGGTACCCGACAGCTCTCTGGGCATTATGCGAAGGGATTGGTATCAGTTTGATTGCAGGGAATAAACTGGGACAAGTCAGTAAAGGCAGCAGTGAGTGGGATGATAGATAGTTAAGGGGACAAAGGTTCCACCTCATTATCAGTGGCTTAGATCTTTGTCTTTAACTCATTTTAGAATATCACCTGCAATGCAGAGCAAAGGGAAGTGACTTTGGCAAGGTACAGGGATTTTCATTTTCTATTTTGTGAAAACCACCAGCCTAATAGTGAATTTTCTGTTCTGCGGGTGTGCTAGGTCAGGAAGGGTTCGCAGAGCAGTGTGAGAGGGGGAGGGGGGTGGCGCGGGGCGGAGCTGAAGTATCACCAATCCTGAAAATTAAAGTAATGTGGTCATTCGATGACACATACATCTGACTATATGTCTTTATGACTAGAAGACAAGCGACATGTTGATGCTAACGAGGACTAGATTCGTGGGGTAGAACTTGAGAGCGGTAGCTTGCTATCTGTGTGTTTTATTGCTATAAGAAGTATTTCAGAATATTAGGTTACATGTGTGAGTTGGGTATGTAGTGGTACCAATTAGTAAATTAATTAGACCTTTCTTCGAACAGTTAATCTTGACCCAAGGGGGGAAGAAATCTTTGTCTGAGTTCAGTATGGAATTCTTTGAACTGCCTGCACAACGTGTGAACGTAATGTCTAATAATGGACAGGAAGCGTGCTCAGTTGGTTTTTATGCGCCTTGCCCCAGTCACACAGTGTCTATGTATGTGACCCTATGAGTCTTACAGAACAAACCCGTCTGCCTCTTCTAGGACGACCTTGACTTACTATTGGCTCTTGACCCTGTCCTACACATTTTAGAATGCGTTTGTATTTTCAAAAATTGTACTCTTTGGTTCTTTTTCTTTGTTTGTTTGCATATTAATGATAAATAGAAATTCAATAGATTTTAATGAATTGATCTTATAGTTGGAATTTCAAGTAAGTTGTAGATTATTTTAGATTCCGATTATCAATGATTAAAAAAATTATGATTAAGAACATTTTTTTTCTTTTCATAGTTTAAATATCTGTCTTAATTTTCTGGCTATAATTTTTATATCTAAAAGTTGCATCTTTGTATTGATCTGGATTTCAAAGGGAATAAGTGATTCTACGTGTAATACTTCCTTTAGGGTTTTTGGTCAATTCCATTTATGAGATTAAAGAAATTTCCTGTTAGGCTAATTTTGCTAAAAGTTTTTGCCTTGAATACTTGTTGAATTTTGTTGAGCAATCTTTCTGCACCTGTGAAGATGATCACGTATTGTTCTCACTCATATTTTGCAGTAGTTAAATATTTAATAAATTATTAAAAATACAGGCTTTTGTTTTTCTTCAATAAATGTATCTTAGTCGTAAAATATTATCATTTATGTGCTGGAGTGAAAGTTACCTGTGACTTTTCCTTCTTCCTGGTACTTTTCTAAAAAAGTTTTGATACCATGTTCTACAATCTTCAAAATGAAGAGGGAATGTCTTTTTCTATTCTCTGAAAGAGGTGTATAAAGTTAGAATGATTTCTTCTTCGAATACTTTGTTAACATTTCAGATGATTTTTTTTTTTCAGATGATTTTTTTTAACGAATGATTTAATTTTATTATTATAGGAAAATTGAGATTATATGTTCCTTCTTAAGTTAGCTCTGGAAGTTTACATATATATTTTAGGAATGTATTCATTTAATCAGAATAAACTTTGGCAATATATTAATCATACTATTTTCTGACCTATGAGTAGTTTCCTCACATCTGTTGTTCTGAATATTCTCATTTTAGCTTCATTTAATCTTGTCTCAAGTCTATTAAGTTAGAAAATAAATACTATTTTAATTATGTTTTCTTTAGCACCTTTGATAGTATTCTGTTCTTATATATACTTCTTTATTTTTTTGTAATATGAATCACATATATTAAAAATCTGATTTTCCTGGAATGATAGGTTTTGTTAGTCTGATTCTGTAGTTTGTTGGTTCTTCATGAGGAAATCCTTCCTTATGTATGTCGTAAGTTTTTATTTTTAACGTATGGCTCCTGTTTTGTCTTCTAGGGGGATCCTTTCAGGTCTCTCTTTAAAATGTGTTCCTCGTGTGATGATCTGAATTTTTTACAAGGTGACCTGTGGCCACCATCAATATAGAATCCCTTTAAATTAATTTTTTGGAGGGACTATGTGAAGCAAGTAGTCTGGCAGCAGTCGCAGTCATGAGTGTGAATGTACAATTAGAGATCTCAGAAGGACTGGGAGGGTCACTTTTGTGTTCCATTCTTGATAATGTACTTGTGTATAACTAGAAATTATGATATTGACATAAATTTTCTAAGCTTTTATTTTGATTGCATCACACGCTTCTATAACTTTATGATTGCAAGGACGGTATTCTTACACTGGTAGTTGGATTACAGTCGCGTGATTTTTCAGTTGCCAATATTATGGGCTGCTTATTGTTTGGTTTGGTTTTGTTTAAAGCGGTAAATGCCCAATAACAGTTTGAGAAACAGAATAGAAAACACTAGAGGCTTATTTTTTACTGTTAATTAGTCTTTTGTATAGGAGAGGAGAGACTCATTTTCTTTGTTTAAAGTAAAGTATGCATCCATTGTTTTCATTTGGCAGGACAATTTGTATGTTCTCAAGCAGATTCTTTATATTAAGTGTCTTTTTCTTTCTGCCCCCTTAGTTTCACAGCTGTTAATGTTGGCATGTTTACTTTGTGTTTCACAGGTTTTCTTTAGGAGATGCCAGGAGGCCTCTTCATGAAACAGCAGTTTTGGTAGAAGATGTGGTTCACACTCAGCTAATTAATCTGGTAAGAATATAGAGAATCTTATTTGGCATCTGTCAGCTCATTGTTTTCATATGGGGATTTCAACCCAATGATTTTTTTAAAAATATAGAGAGACTATAGTTACACTTTTTTTGGTGCTCTTTATCTAAGTATCATTAACATGTACTAAATTGACCAAGTTTCAGTACACATTTGATGGGTTTTGACAATTCAGCATGGCTGCGTAAGTAACCAGCAGGGCGCACATGAGCCCTGATATAAAAAGATCCTTTCCGTGCTCTGTAACAGAAAGTCACTCATGGGCTTTCTGTCCCTCTAGTGTTCCCAAAACTTTGTCCAACCTTAAATTTTGGAAGTAATTTTTGACTTAGAGAAAAATTGTACAAAGATACTCCTTGCTTTCTGACATGACTGGGTTCCATCGACCAGGTTGTTATATGAAAATTAGCATTCCACCAAAATGAAGGATGACTGCATTATTGCACAACTGCCAAAGCACCTCATTGTAACCATCAGACACTGAGAATCATGGCCCAGCTAAATGGACACATAATCCTATCACAGCCAGCATTTTTCTCTTCTCGGTGAAATGTTGGATAATAAGGTATCTGATAAGTGAGAAATAGGTGAGCTCCCTTTAATGTTAATCTTTTATATAATCATTGTATAAGTGCCAAAACTAGGAAATGAGCACTGGTACTTTACCTTAAGGAAACTATACATCTTACTTGGATTTCAACCGTTTTCCTCTCTGTATACATATATTATACATATATATTATTTATTATGTTATCATATTAGCATGTGATTTATATGTATATTGTGTGTGTGTATACATACGTACTCATATATCATGGCCCTTTTCTGTTCCAGCATTCACTTGAGCATACTACCTTGTAGTTAATTGTACTCTTAGGATAATGTCTTTATGTCTTGGCAGTTCTTCTTTCTTTGATTCTCTTTCATGCTGTTGGTACTTTTCAAAAGGATACTCCTGTATGTGAGTTGTGATGCTTTCTAACTATTAGAAGGAGGTTATGCATCTTGGGCATGTTTCGGAATGGTTCGTTCCCCTCTTCCCCTGTTGTAAGTAGGAGAGAATTTCTCTTGGATATTCACAGTGAGAACAGGGTGGGCTCCTGGAGGTAACACTCACAGAAGTGTCGAAGCCTCCCTAAGATTGAGCTTCCTCTAGAGTTTGCAGCATCCAGGAATTAAACAATGACTGTTTCACGTACTTCTGTCAGTACTGCCTCTAGATGCAGGCCTCCCCTCCCAGTCAGCTGTGGTTCTCTTTATTCACCTGTTTCTCCAGTTTTTAGGGGAATTGTTGTCTTATGTTCTCAATTCTCTGAATAATCGAAGAACAGTTGTTGATTATCTTTATCAATTTGTTCAGCTTTCTTATTGTTGTGAAACCTGGCGGTGCTATTGAGCAAACATTGAACTGCTAATTGTTAAATAAGAGGTTGGCAGTTCAAACCCACCAGCAGCTCTATGGGAGAAGGTGGTTATCTGCTTCCATAAAGATTATTTACAGCCTTGCAAACTCTATATAGGGTCACTAGTCAGAATTGACTTGATAGTAGTGACACACAGAGACATACGCAAGCACAATTGCTGCTATTGAAAGGTTTTCACAAAAAACTTAAGACTCTAACTTCTTCTGAAACATCAAAAGTAGAATGTGTGAATACCTAGGCCTGAATTTTAGCACAGACATCTGAGCTCTGTCATTGATTCTACCTGTACACATGACACATACTGCCCTAGCAACCAGGTAAGCTTCATCTTCCTAATCAAAACACATATTAGTTGGTTTATAAGACAGTAGTAGTTCATTGGTGCAAGTCAACGGTTGATCCACAGTGACTGGAAGAAGAGACGTGAGCTCTGTTCCCTGCAGGTTACAATGTAGGAAACCCTGTGGGGCCACTCTACTCTGCTGGAGAGTCACATGAGAGAAAGTCAGCTCAGTGGCACCCAGCATCTTCAATCTTTTCTCCGTTTTTCAGGATGTTACCTATGAGTTCACTTGAGAGAATTTTGATATTGACGTTGAGTTGAAATCCATACTGAAAGCTGAGATCCTTGATCTTCATCGGCAGGTGTTTCGGGCCCTGCTCCCTTTCCGCAAGCCCACTTGTGCCATCTGCATACTGCAGATTGTTCATGAGCCTTCCTCCGCTCCTGATGCCGCGTTCTTCTCCTCCAGCTTCGCTGGATTTACTCAGCATACAGATTGAATACATCGAGGATGAGGCTACAACCCTGGCACACACCTTTCCTCATTTTAAATCCTGGAGTCTTCTCATGTCTGTACACGTTCCACATGCGGACAATGAAGTGTCCTGGAATTCCCACTCTTTACAAAGTTACCCATCGTTTGAGATCCTCAGGCTGATACATGATATATATCGTCTTGACAACTGTTTGTCGAAAGCATTTCTTCCTCTTTTGAGCCCATCGACAATGAGCATGTTTTCCTTTGCCCCCCAGAATTTGGTTTCCTCCTTTCTCTGATGGTGCTTTCTACAGAGTTTATATTGTACATGTTTGATTCTTTTTTGAAATGTCCTCCACTTCCAATCAGTCAACCCCGACGTTCATTGAGCATCCGCGGTATTCAGCAGTAATGGTGGTGGCATCTGTGTGTGTGTTCTTTTGGCGGCAGTTATGTATTGGTTCCCAGCTGTGTATTGGTCCATGACAACCAGTTCACTTACAGTACGACAGTAAACTAAATTGGGATTTTCCGTCTTCATTCTTTTCTTTCTTCTCCCTTCATTGAAGCTGTTGTTTTATTGGGGATCTTCCACATCTCATCTTACAAGTGCTTCTTACTCAGCACTTTGATCAGGACCACCTTTCCCACCCGACAGCCTCACTTTCTTCCGCTCTGTGTGCTCCTTTGTGAATGGCTTCTTCTCGGGTGGTTGCTTCACAGTGAATGAATGTCTGGCACCCCCGTGTGTGCTGAGCAGAACTACTCCATAGGGGTTTCAAGGCATTGACTTCTCAGAAACACATCTTCCGAGGCTGTCTGGGTAGGTTTGAACCCCCAACTGTTAGGCTCGCAGCTGAGTGATTAGCCTTTTGCACAACGCAGGGCTCCTCCCTTTCTAATCACTTGCCTCCATCACATGGCACCTGTCTCCCTGGCAGAGGCAGCTTGTACAAGGCACTGCTTGGTCCTCAGTACTAGTCTTGAGAGGCTGCCACTGAAGGTACCTTTGTAAATGGCTATAAAGCTCATTGACATCAGTCGATGCCTTCTCATAGTGACCATGTAAAACAGGATAGAATTGCCCCTGAGGGTTTCCACCAACACTATTATAACTCTTAACAGGCGTAGAAAGCCTCATCATTGTCCTGTGGAGCCCTGGTGGTTTTAAACTGCTGACCTGTGGGTAGCAGCCCAACCCTAACACTACTCCACCCTGGCTCCCTAAATGGCTATAGGTGTTTTAAACATTGTCCTATATAAAGCTTCACTGAATAAGGTTATCCAAATGGGCAAGCTAACCAATTTTTGATTGGGTAAAAATTAATGGGAGTGGACTTACCTTAATGACTAATGAACCAGGAAGGAAATGTTTTTCTGGCCAACTAAACATTCAGACTGAGCAAAGTTGCAATGTGTGTATGCAGCTCAGCAAACTGAGCACACACTGTTTACGTGAAGGGGCAAGAGGAGTTCACAGATACCATCTGGGGGGTGTGGTGGTGGGGGAAATCCTGGTTTATCCTGTCTGTTCCTACTGTGGAGTAAATTAAGTAGTACCGCATATTTAGCATAAACAGACTTAAAACACCTGCTGTGTGGTGAAAACACAGACATTCTCACATGTACACATACACACACACACAGTTTCAAGATACACAGCATTTTGTCACTAAAACTGGATCGATTTCCCTCATTTTCTATGAATCTCCATTACTAAGCATTTCTCATTGATTGCTCCTATTGTCCTTAATCTCTTCTACTTATGTTCCTTATGTTCTGTTATTTTTTTCTTCTATATTGCCACCTCATACTTCATGAAATCCTACTGTATCTTAGTTCTCTTTCTAAACAAGAAGTTCATATGAGTCCTGATGATGTTTAAGTTGTGACCGTGAGACACCACCGGGCCTTTTCTAAGGGGAATGTTCATTGAGCTAGATCTCTTCCACCACTTTTCCAAGCTGCTTTCTAAGGAATATGCCAGAAGACCGTGTGGGAAGGAGTTTCTATTTCTTCCCCATTCTTTTTTTTTTAATGTATCAGAAACAGCTTTATATCAAGAAGTCATCGTCCAACAATAGAACTTCCCAGCCCAGTCCAACTCAAGTCCGATACTAGTCCATGAGTCTGCAGATTCACCCAGCCACATGCAATGATGCGGAGTGCGGGGCAATCCCAGGCCGGGGAGAGCAGTTGTGTGGGTCTAATGGCGGTGGCCACATCCAAGGACTCAGGCAGGTCTCCGCGTGGCTCATCCCAAAGGAAGGTGAAGGCAGAGAGAGCTTTCTCCTGCTCTTAACATCTGCTTTTTTTCATGGCACAGTGGATCCCACTGACATTCAACTCACCTGCCTCAATGTGAGAGATGATCCGTGTAAGTGATCTACAGTTTCCCTAAGTTATAAGTAGTATGTAAAATTACTTGGTCTCCTGGGCATTGGAACACAGCTCCCTTCCTCTCTCTCTCTCTCTCTATCTATCTTTTTTCTTTCTGATGATCTTCTAAAGTCCGATCTCTTGAATCATGCTAAGCCCTTACGACTACTTGGATCCCGTGCCATGGTTGGGTTTCTGGTCTGTGGTGAAACTTTCAGTTCAGGCCAGAACTTTTCATAAATGCCTAACCTGTAGATTCCGGGAATTTCAGGTTTAAATTATTATAGTCGCAAACTTTTTCCTAGCATTCCACTTCCCAGGTTCAAGTTGCAGCATGTCATTAAAATTGTCAGAGATCTGTGCCAGCTGGATAGTGTATGATTGGGTGATATTGTGGTGAGTCAGCAGTATGATTTCT